AGATATTGAAAGAACAATACCACTTACAGTAACTACACAAAAGAGAAAACATTTAGGAGTAAATCTTACCAAAAGACTTATACAAGGAAAACTACAAAGCACTTTTAAAAGAAACTTGCATAAATGGAAGTAGACTAAACTTTGTTAAAATGTCAATATTACTAAAACATTTTACAAATTCAGTGCAATTCTGACCCAAATCCCAATTGTTTTTGAAACAAATGGAAAACTAATCACAGTTTTATATGGAAAAGAAAGAAACCCAATACAGTGAACCCTCGCCACTTCGCGCTTCGATTTCCGCGGCTTCACTCTATCGTGGTTTTTGCGTAACAGCACCCACTGCCTACACCCGCTCCTTCAGAGGAAAAAGACGGCGACCCACCTGTCGAGTACACCCCTTAAGTCATTTCATAGGCTATTGATTACAGTATTTGTAAGAACTATGTATAATAATACTGTATGTGAAATATGTAATGCTGTAAACTAGATGCCATAAATAATATAATAAATAATAAATGATAATTGCAACAAAAAAAAACAGCTAATCTTGTACATGATTCTACTTAAGGATTCTCTGTTTCACTACACATAAATGCCTCTCCTTTTGTCTGTCTTGATAGCTGAAGCTTTGATAGCAAGTCATGAAATTAAGATAGCAGAAGTTCACCAACTTTGTCATTTTCAGAAGTGTTCCAACTATTCTAGGACCTTTGCCTTGACATGTAAAGTTTAGAATCAGCTTGTGAATTTTTGTCGACTTGGTGTTCAGTTCAGAGCCCTAGTGACTTAGTTGTTATGTCTTGGGCTGCAATCAGCAAGGTCAGCAGTTTGAGACCTCCAGGTGCTCTCAGGAGAAAGGGCTTTCTACTCTTGTAAAGAGTGACAGTTTTAGAAACACACAGGGGCAGTTCTCCCCTGTTTCACAGGGTCACCGTGAGTCGGCACTGACTTGATGGCAGTGAGTTTGGTTTGGTGTTTGAATTCAGGGCCTGGTTGACTTAAACACAGTATCAGTTAAAACAGACAGACACAGGCATCCCCAGGGATCTACTTTAAGCTACACAGTAGACAGGCCCCTGAAGTAGGGCGTAAAACCAGGGAGGCGTGCCCTCTGTAGAACAAGCAACCACAGGAAACCAAAGGGGCAGACTTTGCCCCCAAACTATGCTCAGAGGCCAGAAGAAAAAACGGATGGAGCCCGTGGGGGTTGGGGGGCTGGGAAGAGTGGTGCGGTGCTGTGGGGCTGCAGTCTGAGGACATACAGTGGGTGCCAAGTATTCAATGGGAAACCATCTTGGTCTTTACACTTTCTTCCAGATCACGACAGAGAATGTGGGAAAGAAAAAAAAAGGCCCTGTGTTAAATCCTGTATAGAGATCTGGGAAGAACTGACCTGAGGGAGCGTTGTAGTTCACGACTTGGTAGTCCTCTTCTTTCAGAGATTCTAGAGACCCGTTCTCAGCATTTTCAGTAGTCTTCCATCCTAGAGGCACTATAGCATTTATTGAAGGAAAAAAAGCCTCAAATTTTCACAGCTTGTTGCTAAAAGGTACTTTAATATATTTCCATATCCATTGGTTCATTCTTAATGTATGCAAATACAACTTTTTTTTTTTTAACTTTTGACTTGCAACAAGAAAACAGCATTTTACTATGAATTGGGTGATGGTTAAAATCACATCAGTTATACACTGAACCCATCCATTGAAATCCCCTCAGTGTACCATAATTTATTCTACTTCATCTATTTTCTATGCCAATTTATTCTCCTGTTACATCACTTTGAATCCTGTCCTGGGCAATTGCTGCCCTTTTGATCTTAAATAATTGATTATTTTAACAGGGGAGTGCATATTAACCTTGTATCCTATGGAAAAAACTCATTTATTCCAGCTCTCTTTTGGAAGATTTCTTAGGATTCTTTACATAGGTGATCATTATCTGCAAACAGTGACTCCCTCCCCTTTCTTAACCTTTGTGTCTTATAGTTCTTAATGATCCTTCATTCCATTTGCCGGGTCCTCCAGAAGTGCTGAGTGTGAGTAGTTTGAGTAGACATCCCTCCCTTTCCCCCAATCTTGGGGGTTGAGAAAGCAACTGTCATCCACACACTGTGATACTAGACGTAGGGCGTATTAGTAGGTGCCGTTGACCAGGTCAGAGCAGTTCCCTTCTTAGGTTTTACTATTTTGAGAGAGTTATTATTCTAAATAGATATTGACACTTGTCAAGTTACTTTTCTTCATCTGTAGGATGTGAATGGTGAATAGGATCTTTCATTTTTCAGTTTGTTCAAATTTGTGATGGTTTTCCAGCATGTTGAGTGAACCTTGTGCCACCAGGGTAGTTCACTTGCTCCTGATTGAGGTCCTTGATACTTGCTGCGGAATTGGATTTGCTCGCATGTTGTGAAGAATTGCTGCACCCATATTCATGAAGATTCTTGGCCTCTCCAGTTCTGGTCTCAGGTCTCTCTGGAGCTGATGGGTGGGTAGATTTAAGACGTGCCTCATAGAATGAGTCAGGTGAATTTGGTTTGGTGTTTAATTCAGTGCCAGGTTGACTTAAACAGTCCTCTTTATTTTCTAGACACGAGTGCATAAAATTGGTTATGTTTGTACCAGAAACACTCAGGGGGATTTGCCAGTGACGCCCGCAGGGTCCCAGTAGTCATTGTGGGAGTGTTTTGAGCTGTGACCTCAGTTCCTTTGTTGGGGGTCACCTGCTTCTTTGTGAGTGAGCTTTGTTAGTTTTTCTCTTTAAAGGGATTTGCCTATCACACTAAGATGTTGGTGTGAATGCACTTGTAATACACCTTTATTATCATTTACGTAAGGCCTGATGTAATGCCCTGCGCTGCCACCCGCCGCGCCCCCCCCACACACACACACATACTTTCATTCCTAATGCTGATCATTTTTGAGTTTTGTCTCTTTATCTTTGGCTGGAGGTTTATCAATTTTATTGATATTTTCAAAGCACCTGCTCAAATTCTCGCACACTTCCTGTGTAGCGCAGGTGAGGTTCTGTCTGTCTGAAAGCTTTCATGTCACTTTTGTCTTCAAAACCTCTCTCAGTTGGGTGTCAGAGCCCAGGTAGTTGGCCACTTCTTCTCTGGCACACCTCCTGCCTGGACTGGCCATCGCTCTTGGCCTTCACGAATGCATTCTCTTCCCACGCCTGCTTCCGAGGTTCTCGTTTATTGCTAGTTTCCAGCAGTTTGATTATAATGTGCTGCAGTAGTGGTTGATTTTTTTTTTTTTTAATTTATTGTGGTTGCAACGAATGGAACCTCTCCTTTGTGTCAGCTTACAGTTTTCGTCAAATTTGGAAAGTTCTTTGGCGGTTTCAAAAGCCACCCCTCTTTTTGGGATGCTGTTGCACACCTGTTCGTTCGACATGTCCCACTCTCGGGCATGCACCATCACACTGTGTTAAGACACCTCATCTCTCAGAGACAGTTTCTTTTCCCAATATTGTTTTTCTTGGCGCTTCGTGTTGGATTTTTTATTTCATGTCTTTGGTTTCATTGATAGTCTGCTATGCCTTGCCTTCCCTTAATTCTACCTGGTTTATTTTTTTTCTTTTCTGATATTTTATTTTTCTTCTCTAAAAGCTCCAGACTTGCTTGTATATTTTACATTTTCTCACCATTTCATGTTTTCTTCTTTTTCTTTTTTGTTAGTTGCAGCATCTGTTAATTCTGGGTCTATTTTTTTTAATTGACTGTTTTTCCTCCTGGGTCCCATTTCTCTGCTTCTGTGTGGCTCTTGGATGCTGGGCGTGGTGAGTTTTCTTGTTGTGGTTGCTGGACTTTTGCTGCATTTGATTAAACTGAGAAACATGGACGAATATGATGATGATGGAGATACTGTATCTATGTACCTGCATCTTACAAGGCGACACTTCTAGGATCCTGTTGATTGTGGTGTTGCAGAGGTAAGCTTTCAGTCAGGAAGGAAGCCGTGCGGGGATCGGCTGCTCAGATCATGGCGTGGATGCCATCACAGAGCTAGAGAACAGCCCTAATAAACCGGGGACTTGGGGGAGGTACACACCCAGAAATGCCTCTGGCTTCTCTGCGTCATGGGGAAACTCTAGAGGTTCACCCCTGCACTTGGCCACGCTTCCAGCCCCCCAACACCTCAGAGGCCCCCCCTGCGACCTGTGGAGACGAGTCCCACCCCCCTCTTTCCTCTGTGTGTGTGGGGTCTCTTTCCCTGGGCACATGGTCATGTCCCCATGTCTCCCAGTGCCTCTCCAGGGTGAGGAGGGTGATTGCTCGCTGAGGGGGCAGGTGTGGTGGCCCTGTGCTTCACCCTGAGGGCGCCTCACCTCTCCTTCCCAAAGGAACCCGGCCAGCCTTCTGGGTTTCTGTCACTAGCCAGCGGAGAGGCGCTGGTTCTGAGAGCCCAGCACCTGCTCTTGTCTTAGACCTCGACAGGGAGGCAGCCCGCCCCTGCTTAGCCTGCCCCGCGTCTCCTGCCGCTTAGTTTTCTGAAGCCTCTGGTCCCTCACCTTGGGCAGCCAGCATGGCACCAAGGGTCAGAGAGGCTCCCTGGGCTGGTGATGTCACAGGCTGGTGCAGCATGGCCACTGGGCTGTGGCCCTAAGTGGCACTCAGATGTCTGTGACAGCGTGTCGCTCCCTGCAGGTGCCCACAGTGGGGTGGTGGCCATGGGTGCTTAGGGCCCATCAGAAGTAGAATCCTTCTTTCACACAATGGAAGAAGTTCATGGCACATCATCTCCACGTAAATATCGTGTAAACTGTGAGAAGGTAGAGAACATGTTCCCAACGAAGTCACTCCCTGCATGCCCGTCAGCTTGAATTTTGCCAGTGTTGAGGTTTTGCCTGCTTTCTGAAAGACCTTCCCCTGACAGCTGACAGACAGTGCTGCCGGGAACACTTGGCCAGTTGTAATGATCTTGTTTGTCAATGATCTGTCTGCCCAGCAGAGCCGAGATTTCCTCCTGCACAATGCCCTGGGAGCCCCGCAGACGGAGACAGGCAGCAGACTGGCCGTGGGCGCCCCCACGCTTCCCCCAGCAGGGGGACTGGGCACCTCCACCGCTGCTGATGCCGCCTGCGCATGTGAGGCCTGCAGCGAGCGCAGGTGGGTGGCCTCTCCGAGGAGAGGTGGGCTCCAGCCATGGAAAGAGCAGTATTTCTGCCCCTCATGGGGAAGGGGACAGTGGCTTGGCTACTGTGAGGAGTAACCGGGGAATGGGGAAGGCTGGGAGGGGCAGCGGCAGATGGTCTCTGGGCAAGACCCAGCCGAGAGGGAAGCAGCTGCTGGTGGTGGCTCATTGGGGTGGGCTCAGGAGGACCAAACCCTCATACAGGACTCCTCAGGCCTCGGCAGCTGTGTCCGGGAGCACCCAGGCTTGGGGGAGAGGCCGATGGGTTGGAAAGGAGGAGGGTGGGCTCTGGGGAAGTCCTCCCAGTGAAGCTGCCTGTTGGGGGTTGGAGCTAACACTGCTGGTTGTCCCTTTACCTGTGTCCTCCTCACGCTTCGCAGGGACATTTCGGCAGAGACGGACCGAGAGTCCCAGCAGCTACAGAATTACTGGTCAGAAGTACGCTACATGGTGCGCTGCGTGTACCGCCAGGCTGGGACCCCGCTGGCGGAGGACCAGGACCAGTCTCTCGTCCCTGACCGAGAGGGCATGAAGGAGCTGGTGGACAGGTACTCGGACCTGTGTCCACTGCCCCACCCGAGGGAGCTGCCTCTTTCCTCTCAGCTCTTCTGCTCTGCCTGCTCACTCGCTGGTGGAGCCTGGGCAGCAGCGGGCCCTCTGGTGAAAAGTGCCACCCTCATGGCCGGCACCACAAAGAGTGAGCACAGGCTGCCGCTCCCTCATCCTTCAGACTGGGATGCAGAGTCCCAGGGATTGTGCTAAGGGCTCTCACCTGGAAGGATGCCCAGGGAGGAGGCGGGAGAGCCGCCTGTGCACCTGGGTGTCCCCTCCCTCGCCTGGCCCACTCTTTCAGGCTAAGCAGCACAGCAAGAGGCAGGGTCCCGAGAGACGCCAGCCACTGCCTTTGTCTCTGGCACATACGTCCGTCACTCCCAGGTCCAGTCGAGGGTTTCTGCTCACCCTCCTTTTCTGAGCGACCCCTGGGGAGCAGTAAGTACCTTGGAGCCAGATGTTAGTGGGTCACTTTTCGTCTTAGCGATGTTTATTCCCCCACCGTGAACCCCACGTCTCCCGAGGTCTTACCAGCTCCGGTTTGCCATGCAGTAGACGTTGCCCCGAGCCCTGGTTGTGTTCATAGAGTAATTAGTTGACGACATTAGCCAGTGTGGCCAGGGTTTTCTCTCTGAATCACTGGTCCCAGATGGCATGGGCCTCTTTTAGAAGTTGAGCTTGTTAATGAGTAGCAGGGAGAAAATACATAACCTGCACCCTAAACCATGACTAAGTAGATTATGAAAGTTTAGCAGGAGGCAGAACTACAGCTTGGAAAGTAACACGCAGTGTAATCTTAAACAGAAGGGTGCAAGTAGCACACCACTACAGGGGCAGCGTGCTGCCGCGCCCCCCCCCCCCAAGCAACAACTGAGTTAGAAAGAGCAGGTGGGTTCCGTTGATTGGGTGCTTGGAGCCACCAGGGGAGTGTCTGATGAAAGAAGAAAGAGAGCCTGGCCACAGCTTCTTTGTCCTGCTCCTCAGCATCCCCTGTCCCTGTCCCCAGAGTGGCTGCCTGTGCAGGATGATGGACAGTGAGGCCTTATCCTCCTTGCACATGGGCTGTGGATTCTCCTTGATCTGCTGGGACAGACAGACACAGCAGCAGCTCCCCCCAGTGGCAGCTGCTTAAAGGGCCGGGTGTGTGTGTGTGTGTCCTTCCCCCACCCCTCCTGTTTGCTAGTGAAGCTCATCTGTAGGAATACACGTGTTGGGAAAGTGACAGTGTAGAGAGATGGTTGGAGCCTTAGATGGTCAAGTCCCAACAACAGCCCTTGAATGGTGGGACCTCAGATTTCCAGAGCTAATACCTTACAATGATCAGAGTGCCCTGTTCCAGTTGCACACACGCAACCTCTCTCTATTGCTGCGAGGACTCCAGTTCCTACATGCATGGATCAGTTCCAAACAGAACATGTTAAGCTTATCTGTGATCCATGGGTTGCTGCCGACACGTTTTCTCAGCCACACACTTACTTGTCTTAGTCTCATTAGGGTGCCTTTTTTTGAGGGGGCGGTGGGGGGGACGGTTATATTTTTGTGCCATGGAAAAAAACAATTTTGAGGTAAGGGCTGTTATCAATTTATTAGCCAAGCTCAAGTGGACTTCTTCCCAAATCACTGAGATTTTGCTGCAGGTTTATAGGATTGCTGCCCCCCAAAACAACAGTTTCTTACATGGATCGAGTGTTTTGAGGAAGACTTGGATGAGCTCCTGAAGGGGCGGCCGTCAGCACACGAAGAACGAAGGAAGAAGACTGCGGAAGTACCATTGATGGGGTAACTGCTGAAGTGGGGCTCTCATGTGGTCAGACAGTTTCTGTTCTAAGAAAACACCTGACCTCTGCCAGCTTTCCGCTTGCTGGGAGCTGGGACCATTGCTCGAAGATCACTTAGCTCAAGGGGCTGCTCTTTCCATCAGTCTTTTAAGCAAGATGGAAGCTAATGAAGACAATTTTATGAAACAAAGTGTAATCAAGGGTGAACCTTGGACTCCTCCATGCTACCCAGAGACAGAGTCCAGCCAGAGCAGTGACGTCCAAACCGGGACCCACCGGAGTAGTTCACTTGAAGACAGGAAGGGTATGTATGGTGACGGCTTCTTAAACTCCAAAGGGGTGATGTTGATAGATTTTCTTGAAGGACTCGGGGGCTTATTATGAAGAAAGACGTTTCAAGAAAATCTTAAATTACACCAGGGACAAAAGGTCATGGGAGTTGTTTGGAGGCCACTTTCCCTGATGATGACGGTGTATGGTGTCTGCTCATCATTCTAAGGTAGGAAGGGCTGTCCTGGAAGAACTTCATTAGGAAACATTGCCCCATTTAACTGACAGCTCTCATCTTCCTATTGCAGATGTTTTTTGCCCCCAAAGTTGAGGGAACACTTAAAAGGAAAATGATTTGAGCCCCTCTACGATGCCAGAACTTCTATTTTGATGCAGTGTAAATAAAAGAGCACTGAATTATTCCGTGAAGGATTGTTGTTGTTAAGGCTGCTGACTCTTGGAGATGCTGTGTGCAGCAGAGGGAAACACTGCCTCGTCCTGCACCATCCTCGCAGACTGCGACTGTTGTGACAGAGTACCTTTCCTATTTAAAATGGAAGGAACTCACAATTCAACAGCAGGAAAGCTGGGAAATTCACAAATAACGAATTTAAACACTATGCTCTTAAACAGCGGACCAAGAAGAAACCACAAGAGAAATTAGAAAGTACCTCGAGACGAAGGAAGACGACAACAAAACATACCCATACTTACGGGGTGTAGTGATAGTGGTGCCAAAGAGGGGGCTGATAGCTGCAAGTGCCTGTTTGTGAGAGCAGATAGATGCCCGATCAACCAGAGGAAAAAGAGCAATTGAGCGTGGACAGCAAAAGGAAGACATGGTGAAGATCAGAGCCGAGATAGCAAAATAGAGACGGGAAAAGCAATAGAGAAGGTTATGTTTTACAGAAACCAAACGGATTAGATGCGACAGGATGATTGCATATAGGCACAGCAGTAGTCAGACAGGTGGCACAGGGCTGAGCCACATTCTGTTCCATTGTAAAGACACAGTGAGTCAGAGGTGACCGAACAGTGACTCTCAGAACAACAAATTGTTGCGAAGACACTGCTGTGAACAGTTGTAATTGTACACCAGCAAACTAGACCTATAAAATGGACAGATTTCGGGAAACGACTAAAACGGACTCAAGAAGAAATAGAAAATCTGAGTTGACCTATTATGAGGAGATTGAATCCGTAATCTTGAAATCCCAACAAAGAAAACTCCAGAACCAGGTGAGTTCACTGATAATTCTATTTTTAAAAAAGAGAATTGATAACAATTTTTTAAAAATGTTCCCCAAACATTGGAGAAGTGTGAATACTAACTAAACCATTCCACGAGGTCAACAATACGCTGGTACCAAAGCCCGGTAACACCACCAGGGACAGACGCATACGCACTCAAACGAAAAACAAAGACTGATACTCCTCATGCATAGCGATGCAGAAAGCACCAGCAAAATACCAGCAGACCGAAAATTCAGCAGCCCATTCAAAAGGTTTGGATACCAGGACCTAGTGAAATTCTTCCCCAGAATGCAAGGATGGTTCAGAATATGAAAAATCAATCAGTATAATACCACATGGGTAGCATTGGGGGGGAGGGAGGAGAACACAGTCATCTCAAGTGATATAGAATAAGCATTTGATTTCTTAATACCTTTTTATAAACACAGTTAACAGAGGAGAAGTTCCTCGACACGATAAAGGCAGTGTTTGAACATCTAGCTCAGTGTTGAAGGTGAGGTTAATGGAGTAAGACAGGGGTCCTTTCTGACTTAGCACGTCTGCCCAGCATCCTGAGAGGAGTGCAAGAAAAGTAAGGGCAGATGACACGATCATATGTTTAGAAGGCTCAGGAGAATATGCAAACGCCCAGGAAAAGACTTGTTAAGTTCAGCAAAGCTGCAGACAGCAAATGAAGAGTTGGTGAGGATGTGTAGAAATTAGGCTGGTGGGAACGTAAAGCGGTGGGAAAAATGGATGGTTCCTCAAAAAGCCAAACGTGGAATGACCATATGATCCACCAGTTAGTAAGTTACACCCCGAAAGCATCGGCATCACAAACTGATAGTTGTACATCAGTGTTCGTCGCCACGCCATTCCCGATTGTCAGAAGTGGCAAGCCTCCAGTGTACATGGACAGATAAATCAGTGCAGGGTGCTATGTGCCTCCAGTGGAATGTTCATCAGCAACCAAAAGGAGCAGCACTCTTACAACATGGCTGGGCCTTGAAAGCATCCTGCCAAGGGAAGTAAGCGGAAGCTGAAAGCGCAGATACCTGAATGCATCCATTTACCTGGAGTGCCTGGGAGAGTGCGGACTTGGACAGTGGTAGAGAGGCACAGAGTGAGGGTTCCTGGGTCTCGTACTGTTCTTTTAGGTTCTCTTGGGCCGCCATGAGCAGGAGTCACTCAGTGGCAGCGAGTTTCAGCTTTTGGGCTGCACCATTCCTTAGGCTCTGTAGCTGGCATCACGCAGACGCACGGGCTGTGAGGGCCCCAAGGATGGCAGGCTTACTGGTGTGGTCCGTGCCAAGCACATGGCCAGTGTTTACTGACTCAATATCAGCTTTTAAAAAGCACCACCTGGTCATTTCATTACAGCTATAAAGTGTAGGAAAAAAAGGAAAATTAAATGCATCCCTCTCTCTTTTTAAAGAATAGTTTTATTGGCATATGCGTCACTTTAGTATTCAGTCATATTAAGACTACCTGTGCAGTCATCACCACCACAATCCATTTCAGAACATTTTCTTCGCATGCTTCTTGTTAGTCCCCACTTCCCCATTAACGTCATCTCTTGATCTCACTGTGCTGAGAACCCTGAGGCAGAGTGGTTACTTGTTGGGCGGCTCACCACAAGGTCAGCAGCTCGACGCCACCAGCGGCCCGTAGGAGGAAGAGGAGGAGTGCTGCTCCGGTGAAGTCTCAGTGTCGGAACCCACGGGGACAGTCCTGCTCTGCAGGCTGTGCGTTAGCAGTGGCACAGTGGCAGTGAGTTTTGCTTTTTGGTGTGAGAGCCCTCAGAAGACTACGTCCAGTCCTTCAGCACATGAAGCCCACTCTGTTTCTGCGCACACCGCTGAACTTGCCATAGAGTGACATTCCAGTGGGAGGGGCCCGTTGATGTGTGCTGTGGAGGGCTCCTGCCCACTTTAGGGTGTTACTCGGCACCTGTCTTGTGGCCATGCGGCTGATCACGGGCAGTGCTTGACACAGCAGCCTCTGAACACACCATGGTTGTTCTTTACTCTTGGCCAGATGCAGGACTCAGAGGGTCAAAGGTCCCATAGTGTGAAACGCAGGACCGGCTGGGTGGTGCGTTTCTAACCGGGTGCTGCGGTGACTGCTGCTGTGGGTGTTGGGCCTGGCCTGCTGACTCCTCCTCTGTCCCCATCGAACTGTGCCTCAGAGAGCAGGGTCCTTCCCAGCTACTGCACCCTAGATGGCGTGACCCCTCGTGGTGCCCAGGGTGGGCAGCACCCCCCCTGCAGAGAGGGCTGCCCTGAACCTGGATGCTAGGCTGCAGTACAAAGGTGTGGACTTGCCATGGGGCACTGAGGCTTTTCTTTTTTCCTCTGAGAAGGGGGCTGGCTGCCAAAGCCGTGTGGGAGCCTGTGGTCCAGAGCCAGGTTTTAAGTGGGTGATGGCCAGGTCTGGCAGGCAGGGCATGAGAACGCTTACTGCACTTGTCTCCTGGTGGCGGGACGTGTGTATGCCCCTCGCCCCTTCTCTTCCGCTGGCAGATTTTATTCTGTGCCGAGTGGCTTCCTTGTCAGACCCATGGGGGAATCCTGCTGCCGGCTACAGGCCCCTAACTTCTCCGTGGTGTGGCGCCCTTTTCCCCACTAGCCTGTGAACATTCAGGACTAAGGGTTGGCCATGTGTTTGGTTCAGTCTTGGGCCTGGTCCAGCTCTGCCAGTGCTGCTGAGGGCTGGGGGTTGATGCCAGCTCACAGGGACCCCATAGGCCACAGTAGAACTGCTTAGTACGCTTACCTAGGCTGGGAGCTTTACACATCTCCCTCCTGTGGTGGCTGATGGGTTCCAACCTCCGAATTTTGGGTTAGCAGCCACGTCAGGCTCCTTCAGCCTAGCTCAGAGGCTAGCTCTGCACTGGGAGTGAGCGAGTCCAGGCTTTGCCACCCTCTGGCTGCGGGATCGCACACCAGCGACCATCTGTGTGGGCTCGAGCTTCTCTGTCTGTGAAACAGAGGAAACGAAGTTGCCCACTTGGCATTCCTTGGGGTTCTGTCAGAGTAAGCTCTTCACAGACGCCGCCTGGTGACCAAGGGTAAGCGCCCCAGGGCTCTGTCTAGCTGGCCGCCTGCCTGGGGTGTAGGGCCCAGGCGGCATCCCTCCCGGGTGGGGAGGGCCATGGTCCCCAGCTAGCCTATGGTTGTAGAAAGGTAGCTTTCCAGGCCCCGTGAGCCCTGACTCTCCTCTCTCTGCAGGCTCTGCGAGAGGGACCCCTACCAGCTGTACCAGCGACTGGAGCAGCAGGCCCGAGAATACGTGCTGGAGATGAAGGTGCGGCTCCTGCGACAGCTGTCAGCTGCGGCCAAGGTGAAGGCCCCCTCGGCCATCCAGGGCCCGCCCCAAGCGCACCAATTCATCTCACTGCTGCTGGAGGAGTACGGCGCGCTCTGCCAGGCGGCACGCACCATCAGCTCCTTCTTGGGCACGCTGGTAAGAGACCACCGCCTCTGCCCTGGTGCCTGGGTGGCTACATGACTGTATCCCCTGTGCCTGTCCATGTCACTGAGGGTCTCTTCTTTGTCACTGCCCCTCTACTTAACAGTTGTGGCAAGATGTTCTTCTCCAGGGACAGGCTCCTGCTGACAACATGTCCAAAGTACATGGAGACAGTCTCGCAGTCCTTGCCTCTAAGGAGCTTTCTGGACTGTTGAGTGGTTTCTTTGTTTTTCTGGAAGTCCAGAAAATAATACGTTTTTCATATTATTCCCCAGCACTGTACTTAGGTATACCCATTCCTCTCCATCCGTTGTCCAGATAGATTGATTTATTGATTGATTGATAAGGTCAATCAAAGGGAGGAGGTGGGTGGTCATCTGAGGCTTTGAGGCCTGTGTGTGGCTCTCACACTCCCCCTACCCCCACATGGTCCTTCCTCCTCTCCTTCCCTCTCAACGCTGCTGCTGGGCGATAGTGCTGAGTGGGTCGGTGTCCAGGCGGTGCTTCATGCAGACACTGCCTGGGCGACCCTGAGGAGCGTGTGTGGTAGTGGTGGAGGAAAGAACTTTTCTTCAAAGTAAGTAAGTGCTCTGTGTTTCCCGTTCATTGAAAACCTGCCCTGTTTTAGACACAGCAACGTGTGGCCAGGTTCATGACCACACTCTGGGGCTTGTGTTCTCTCACGCAGCAGCCCAGGTGCTCTGCTGTCCCCCTCCCTTCAGGGCCGTCCAAGAGATGGAGCCGGGTGAGCCGAGGCCGGGGACTTCCTTCCGCTCTATAGAGATCCCCCTCCTTCCTGGTGGCTTGCAGAGGCACTATCTTTTCATCTCTTAGGTGTATTGTCACATGACATCCCTGGTCTGCTCTTGGCGGATTTCTTACGGTTGGCTACAGCATGAGTCCCACATAGGAACTGGGGGCTCCTGCTGGCAGTGAAGCCATGGCACGGGGCTGATGCTAAATAGGGCCAATAGGTCGTCATTGCTCTCGGCAAATTTGTACCCACCGTTTCCTTACAAGCCCATGCTGCCTGTTAGCCACCTTCTAAACCCTTGGGAAAGTGTGGTTGTGAGCAGGTGAGCGGAGGCTGCCGGGTGAATGTGCCTAGGGCTTGCTTCAGCTGCACAGACCCAGATTGGAAAGGCTGGCAGCAGATCCACCAAGTGATTCCCAGACTCCTGGGCACAGTCCTATCCCGTCAGCGTTTGTCTCTTGTCCCTCCCTCTCCCACCTCTACTTAGTGATTTCTGCTTGTCCTTCTGAGACCCCTGGGCAGTGCCACCACCTCTGCAAACACCCCTGCTCCCCTGTCTCCTGAGAGTGGAAGCGGGACATGCTGTCTCGCTGCGACCTGAGGTGCTGCGGCAGCTCCCAGAGGTGCACGTAGACCCGCAGGTCTCTGTCGCCAGCCCCTGTGAGAGCACTCAGACTCTCAGCTCCTTGTCCTGGGTCTGCATCCTTGACAGCTAGAGGTGGGCATGGTATTTCCCATGGCACCGCAGCCTGAACCGCATACTCCAGGCAGGAAGACCATAGATCGCTGGGGACAGACATCCTTTCTGAGCACATTGGTGGCTGCTTTGCAGGGGAAGGCGCCCAAGTGAAAGCAGGAGCCCCAGCAAGACCTGCTGCAATGCCCTTGCCCACCGTGCCGCACCCTCGACAGACCGGACAGGGAGCCGGAGTCCAGCTGAGGTGGGCTCAGCACGTCCTGTGGCCGCCGCACATGATCACAGCCCTGCTGTATGGTGGGCTAGAAGCTGTGCACCAGAGCGGAATGGCCACCCCAAGATCTCCGAGGGCTACAGGCTGGGCCAGTGCTATTGGTGAGAGAGTGCATCTGTCTCTGCAGCAGGGCGAGGTTGGGGGAATGTTGCACACCTGATTTCCAGAGTGTCCATGGATCCAGCTGCAAGAAGATGAGCACACTGGGCCCCACAAACTAGACCCACCAAGGATGAGAGCCGGCAGAAACCACACACAAAGCCAGGTCCTCGGAGACTGTCCTGAGCAGAAGCCCAGGTGACGCAATGGGCTAAGCACTGACTCCAACCACAAGGCTGCTGCTTGAGCCCCCGCCCCACTGCAGGAGAAGGACAGGGAGGTGCGTCTGCCCACTCACAGAGATGGCCTGTCTTGGAAACAGTTCTATGGAGCAGTTACACTCTTCTCTGTAGGGTCGCCGTGAAACAGAAGCAGCTCTCCGCAGCAACGGGTTTCATTTGGTGTCAAGTAATGAACAATGTTGGAAGTTGTGAGACAAGGATCAAGATTGAGATTCCAGAAAGAATAAAACTTCACAACTAAAGAGCCCCAAGAAAACAGACACACACAAATGGAACAAAATAATGACAACAAAACACAGTGCACGCTTCAAGGCACCGTGAGTGGTGCCAGCAGAGACAACAGACAGAGTCAGACTCTCAAAGAACGTAACTCCGCTCGCAGCATTGAAAGAAATGGAGTCCAGTTGACGTTATGAGCCAAGGAACAAGGTTATGAAGGATAATCAAGCAGAAAGCTGGAATGTAGAAATATGTCATTGTTAACCCCAAAAGGCTTGGTGGGGAGACTAACGAGTGCGGGGAAACACAGCTGAAGAACCATTAGTGACTTGGAAGAAAGGTGGAGGAGACTGGCTCGGAGAGACCAGTGAGATGGATGAGGGAGAAAAAGGACATGGCAGCACGGAGAGCCCCAGAGAGGGTTAGCCCTCCTGGACCAGCTGTGCCAGGTCATTCCACGTGGCTCCCGGGTGCCAGCTGGGGCTCCAGCTGCTGTGCCTGCCCCCGGACGCGTCACTTGAGAATTGCTTCCACATGCCCAGCCCCGAGGCGAGGCGAGGCGTGGCTCCCAGCCTGATAGCTCGCGGCAGAGCTGGCCCAGCTTTCTGGGAATCTGGGAATCAACATCAGTTCAGTACGTGTGTCTCTCTTTTTTGACTAGGAAAATGAGCACTTGAAAAAGTTCCAGGTGACGTGGGAGCTGCATAATAAGCACCTGTTTGAGAATCTCGTCTTTTCTGAGCCACTTCTCCAGAGCAACCTGCCGACACTGGTGTCCCAGATCAGGTACGTGGCCACCTCGCAGCAGCTGCCTGTGGGCAGAAAGAGGAGCACCTGCATGGGTACTGTCACATGCCTTCCTCCTCCTCCTGTATGGCTTTGATGTAATTGTTGAGACGATAGCACACACACCACACACACTAATCAAACCATTTCTACACACACCTCGGTTGCGTGGCTGCAGTCTCTGACTGCCATCTTTCTCGCACTCCCATTCGCACAGTCCTGCCCCCTAAGGTGAGGGTCCTGTGAACCTTTCAAGTTGCTACTGTCACTTTCATCCTGATGCACAGTTATTTTAAGAGCATAATGCTCAAGGCAAAAAAAACCCAAAACCAGTCTAGTTGAGCTAGACGATTTATTGGCTTAGTTTTAAGAAAATCCAAGGAGCATTTTGGTTTACAGTCTAAAGGTTATCTCAGGGCACTAGTTTCTGGGGGTCATGGAACCTTAGTGTCACCACCAGGAAGTCTGGAGTTCATGAGATTTTGAAATCCTGTGCTACACTAGACTTCCTCGCGTTGGTCAGGGTTCTTACACGGAGTCCGTGATCAAAATGCTCCGTACCACCCTGCGTGCCCGTCCCATGGCAGAGAAGGACGGCCCGCGCCACTCTTGTTTCTGGCTGCCCTCCTTTCTTGCTGCTTCCAGAATTGTGACCACAGTGTGCCTTGAATGACCCCTTGCAGGCTTTTAAGACTTGTGCAATGGGCGAGGACATAGAACAGAAGCACTTAAGTACATTATTAGGCCAATTAATTTAGATGTCCCATGAAACCGTGACCCTTGACCTCTATCCAAAGTAAGGCACTAGATCCCTGAGGCCTTCACTCTCTCTGATCACCTGTGCGTTTTGCTCCTGGGGTCTGGCTGGCTCAGCTGTCTTACAGAAAGTCACACAGCCTGGGGTGTGCTGTGCACACAGCACGTCCTGTACCCGTCTTCAGGCTTCCAGTGGGGTCACTGGCTCCACCATGCTCAGCTTCCCTCCCTCAGGCAGCACCCTGGGCGGGAGGTACGTGGACCTGGGGTGCCCTGATGTGCAGTTGACCTCGGAGGTTGTCTCTGGATCCCAAGTCACCACCAGAATGCTGGGATGGGCACTGCGTCCAGCAGCACCAGCCCCTCCACAGGCGTGATGGGCACGCGAGGGAGGGCAGCAGTGAGCGCTGGCTTACTACTAATCAGGGCTCACAACAGGAGATGCTGTGATGGACGCTGCGAGGAGCAGTGAGTGCCGCCAGCTTACCTTCTCGACAGCAGACAGGGCACAACAGGACACGGTTGTGTGAGCAGCACCCCCACCACCCCTACCAATGGGTATCTCTCCAGGTGGAGATGGGAAGCTTGTCCAGGCGCCCCCACTCCTGCACCATTGGGTGACAGACACAAAGTGAGCCACCGTCTGCCAGTCCTTCCCTCTGACCTACACCAGGTGTGAGAGCTCATGCGGTCCTTTCTCCACCAACACCCCAGCTGCCCAGGCAGGAGACCTCTGCCCAGCCTGTGACTGTCCTCTCTCTGCTCTTTGGCAAACCAGACACACGTTGGTGTCTCCTTCACTTGCTGACATTGGGACAGACCATTTGTCCTGAGGGGGTGGCGCTGGGGTTTACCTCTTAGCTGAAAGCCTGCCCCTCACAGGAGCCACACCCAGGCTGATGTTTGCTATTGTGGGTGTTAGTAGCTCTTGTCAATGTGGTCTGTATTTTAAACATACTACTCGTGGTTAGGGAACTCTCGAATTGGGCTTGTAAATACACTCACCAAGCTTCTTTGAATGCACTCTGCTTATCACCCACAACCCTGATTCACCCGAAGAGAGCACAAAGACACTTTCATGTCTGTTTCGTATTTGCAAACAGTAGTGGACCCCTGCCTGCCTGTGGACTGAGCCTGGGTGTACTTCAGCCCTTGACCTTTCTCTGCACCCTGGCCTCTGTTCTCACCGTCCTCTCTGGGTTCCAGCAGTTTTGTCATGAACAGAAGCTGCCCAGTGCCTGCAGACCTGGACCACCCGACCAGGAAGACCTGCTTCCCTCCGTTCACTCCAAGTAGAATCCGCTCTTCTCTGAGGCGGGAGTGGGAAGAGGACCCCATGAGCCCCCCAGGTGCTCCTTGCAGCATCCTTGACCTCCAGCGTGGATTACGGGGCCTGGGGCTCGCACCCAGAAGGGATATGTCCTGGGCGGTGGCTGATGCAGCCACCGGCCCTGTGCTGTGGGAGCTTGTGCACCAGAGCCCACCAGCCCTGCCTGCCTGTGGGAGCTGTCCGCCTTGTCAGGCCCCATCGCAAGAAGGTTGCTGATCATCATGGAAATTCAGAAATGGGTGACAGTATGGAGAGCACCAGTGTGACTGAAACACACACACACACACATCATGGAAATTCAGAAATGGGTGACAGCATGGAGAGCACCAGTGTGACTGAAACACACACACACACACATCATGGAAATTCAGAAATGGGTGACAGCATGGAGAGCACCAGTGTGACTGAAACACACACACACACACACACACACCTCCTGGGAGCTGTTGCCCAGGCTAGCTCAGGGCCCAGTTGTGGCGCCTGAGCCAGGTTTGGAGCCCGTCCCCGGGTGCCCAGAACCCCACACGCTGCGATGGCAGAGGTCTGCAACGCCTGCACCACCGTCTGTTCACCTGGAGGTCTGAGGCAGACACACCCCAAGTCTGCTTGTCTGCAGAAACACAAAGCAGAAGGTGCATTCTGAGGGGCTCGCTTGGCATCAGGAACGCTGTGTCCTGGGCAGGACACTGTGTGAGGCCACCGTCTCCTTCCTGTTGCTCTCTGGGTCCCTGTCCCAGGGCCTCGTGTTTCTGCTCGCCCACCTGGCAGGGCAAGCCGCCTTGCACAGCTTTGAGGATGGACTCCCGACAGAAAGCGACTGGTGGTTTGACAAAGACTATGGAGCAGATGGACTGCCGGAAGAGTAGAAAAACCTGCCCCTAGAAACTGGGAGGGCAAGGCTTTCACTCGTACTTTGGACGTGCTGTCAGGAGGGGCCAGCCCCGGCGAAGTCTACCAAAACCCACTCCCATCAAGTCCTTTCCGACTCAGGCGCCCTGGTGCGGGTTCCGAGGCCTTGTCCACCTTTACAGAGCAGACACCCTTCTCTCTTGGTCTGAGCTGCCCTGGAAGTCCCAACACTGCTCCGCAGAGCCAGCAGGGCTCTCTGTTGAGTCGAGGGTCAGCAAAAGGAAGCGGCCCTCAGCAAGGTGGGCAGACCCCGCAGTGATTTTGGAAATGGCAGCGGGTCGAGGCTTGTCCTGTTGAACGGCAGGTTGCTGAGTCACAACTGACTTGACGGCACCTTAGCAAGATCAGCCCTGAGCTCTGCCTCCTAGACTTCCCCTGCTTCGTCTTCTCACGCACAGCACACGTGGCTCACCACCACCCATCACCTGTGGACACGTGGGTGTGCGTAGGCGGGCAGGGCCCTGTGCAGCTGTACCTGGGTCTGGAGGAGCTGTGACATGTGGCTCTCTGCCCCAGTACCTCACCCCATCCGTTTGGTTCAAATATCAGCGTGCCTGGGTGTGGTAGAGTGCTTACACATCGGGCTCTGACCCTCATGGTTGGCAGTTCAAAACCACCAGCAGCTCTGTGGGAGGAAGACTGAGTTTTCCACTCCCATAAGCAGTTAACAGTCTCCAACACCCACAGGGGCTCCCTATGAGTCAACCTTGACTCGGTGGCAGTGAGTGAATTTTGAGGGTGAATCTTTGGGTATGAAGAGATTACGCCCTTTTCTGCCTCCCCTGCCTCTGTCTGCTTCCCCGCACCCCCACCCCCGGCCTGCCTTTTGAGACATTGTGATGGGTTTCCTCAGGGCCCCACACACCTCTGTAGTTCCCTTGGGATTCCCCCCTCTTTCCTCAGTAACTGTGGCCCACGTGCTCCCTGCCGCTGGTTCCAGGCCTCCGCTCCGTGACTCGACACCAGTGTGCCTGAGATGCGTTCTGTTTCCCAGCCTCCGCGTGGCCCCTCGTCTTGGGGATACGGGGAGAGGTGGAGGCCTCATGACTGCCATCAGGGCCCCTGGTCAGTAGGGGCTGCCCTAGTACCTGTTTCCTGTGTTAGACGGGCCCCTTCTCTTCTCGCAGGCTGGGCACCACCACGCACGACACCTGCAACGAGGACACATACAGCACCTTGCTGCAGCGCTACCGCCGCTCGGAGGAGGAGCTGCGCCGCGTGGCCGAGGAGTGGCTGGAGTGCCAGAGGAGGATCGACGACTATGTGGATGAGCAGGTGGGCCAGGTCGCCAGGGCCTGTGGAAGGAGCCACTGGTCAGGTGCCATGTGCCCCTCCCCCCGCCACCCCCAGGGTCCTGTGCGCAGGCTGCTGCCCAAGCTGGGAGGCAGCCCCACCAGAGCCTCTCGGCCCAGAAAGGGAATGCAGACATGAGCTGCCACCAATGAGGGCCTGAGGGTGGGAAAGGGGAGCCAAGGTGTGTGGGGGGTGGGGTGAGCCAGAGCCGAGCACCAAGCCTGGGCCTGAAGGAGGGGGCGTATCCCTCACTGTCCAACCGTTTGCTCCCTGCTGCCGTAAGACTTCTGGCCACGGTGGGCGGGAGTGTAGTAGGAGAGGCCTACTTTACAGATCCCAGGGAGAGAGACAGACTCCATGTAGAACTCTAGTTCTGGCTCCCACTGTGCAGGTCCCTGGGCACCCTAGGAGTGTTGATCTCTCTTACAGCACTGCCCTCCTAGGCCTTAGAGGTCCTGGTGTGACCCCCCTCTCAGCACTGCCCCCTTGGGTCTTAGAGATGCTGAGATGGGTGGGCCAGGTGGGAAATAAAGAGAGACTGGGTTTGAGCGAGATAGTGTTCATAAGCTCATTTCTCTGAGTTGAGTGGGAAAAAAGTTCCTGCAAAATTTGATGTGGTACTTCTATCAGCACACATACTAGAGCAGTAGCTGCAGGCGGTCCCTCGTTCCGAAGGTGGGGGGAATCTCTCCTGTGTCTTTCTTTGGTGCTGCCCTGTTGGCCCCAGTGGAGTACGGTGCGTGGACATCACAGTCTAACCGTTCCGCAGCCCCTCCCCTCCTCTGCCCTCCAGGCATCTTGTTCCTGTCCTCCACATGTCTGTGTGAAGGTCGTCCCCCACTGCAGACCGTCTGCTGGTCCCAGGCCAGTGTGGGGCACGTGTGGGCACTGAGACTGTTGGCAGCTTTGCTGGCTGGCATTCCCTCCTCGCTCTCTGATGGGCACCCATCTCTGGTTTTGTGTAAAACGAGCTCTGGGGTTGAGTAAGTTGAGCAGGATCTGGGAATATGGCCCAGGGGGAGTGGGGCATGGGACAGGGTACCAGATAATGCATTTGTAACTCCTTCCGGCTGAAGGTGCCCCTGAAAACAGTGCTGACGTTGATTGTTTTTGTCTGCGTTGGTGTTCCCTTTGTAGATGACGATGAGAACCAAACAGCGCATGCTCACCGAAGACTGGGAGCTCTTCAAGCAGCGGCGGTTCACCGAGGAGCAGGTGAGGCTCAGCGCCCAGCAGTGGCGTGGGGAAACAAAGGGGATGCCACCTGCCGGTCACCAGGCTCTGCAGTCTCAGACCCACACATGGGACAAGGCTGTGCAGGCAGGGCGTGCACAGAGACTCAGGCCACCTCGTCTCACGTGTTCACCCACTCCTCCTGCTCCTCCCTGTGCCCCTCAGGGCCAGTTATCAAGTGGCTTGTAATGGCCACCATGCTGCTGTGGGCCTCTCTCCACATTGGCAGCCCTTGAGCTCCCAGCCATCCTCTTCTTCCACTTGCTGCTATTGCTCAGCCCGTGCCACCTTCTGCCCTGCCTCACTGCACACTCCGCCACAGTGCTGGCCCTCAGAATCCCTGTGGCCCCTGAGTCCAGCCATGGACCACCCGGGCCCAGTGTGAACAGATGATCTGGAACCCCGTGGGCATGTGCCTGGTGCCGGCTCTCCCCATACCTTGGGCTGAATCACCAATCTCGGCTCCTTGTCGACCGCCTGCCTGCTGCCCACCACCCTGTGGAGCATCCCTTATGTGTCCATGGTCCTGAGCGGGCCTCTGCCGTGGCACTCGTCACCCTTACTACCTTTGTTCCCATTTCAGTGCCCGCTGAATCCAGCCAGCTAGACCTAGGGCAAATGGCAGTGCCCACTGCAGCCTGCCTCTGGCAGGCAATCAGTTAACTGGCAGCTGCAACAAGGGGGAACCTCGGGGTTCTGGCCCTCGGCCTCTGGGGTTTCCTCCCTGGTGGTCTCTCCGCTGCAGGACACCGAGAACACGGGTTTCTGGGTTGGGGGGGTTGGGGTGCGGCATAGGAAAGATGGAGGGGAATTCCGTCTCCTGAAGCCCTGCACTGGTAAGCGCAGATGGTTCGATGTGGGGGGAGGGGGTCCATAGCAAACGAGGCCGCTGTTGTCCGATGCCCTCTAGTTACCCAGCAAGAGGGCGGTCGCTGGTGAGAACCACTTCACAGACACCATGAGGCACATGCTGTCATCGAGGCTGGCCCTGCCCGACTGCCCCAACTGCAACTACAGGAGGAGGTGAGCTCGTGGGCTGGGCTGTGCCCCCACACCCTGCGTGGCTTGGTGGGTGACACACGGCCTTCATTCCCGACCAGGTGTGCTTGTGACGACTGCAGCCTGTCCCACATCCTCACCTGTGGCATCATGGAGCCCCCAGTCGCTGACGATCTCCACGTCCACCAACTGCCCCTCCAGATGGGCTCTGCTCCCGACTACCTCTCGGAGATGCGCCCACCCAGCGTGTCCTCGGCCAGCTCAGGCTCGGGCTCCAGCTCCCCCATGACGGTTCAGCAGCACCCCAGGCTCACGCTCGTGGACAACGGCGCCGCTCCAACTTTGTAAGTGGTGTAGGGTGAGAAAGGACCATGCCTTTGGGAGCAACTCACAGCGAGCGTGAGGGCAGTGAGCAGGGGGACACCGTTTCCTTACTGGGGGAGAAGACTGCACTCACTTGGATCAGTGACAGACAGAACCCGCTGGGATGCAGGGAGTGCCCGCACGCTCTCCTCCGCCTGTCTCCCTGTCCCGCAGAGCCCTTGGGGGTCACGTCGGCATGGGGTCTGTCACCAGTTTGTACTGCCGGTGTGGGGCCCCGAGTTTCTTCTGACCTGTGACGCTGTCGTTTGTTGAGGCTTCACACTCCGCCCGGCTCCTGGAAGGACACCTCACGAATGTGCTCTCTCGGTGTCTGTCACCTGCACCTGCCACCTGGCCTCAGCTCCCTTCACGTTTCCCCAACAGACCCAGATGTGTTTGCCGCCCGGGAGCTCTGGCTGCCTCTTGGCGGCAGAGTGAGCTTTCGACAGTGGGTAACTCCAGGGCTATGCTCCATGGGCAGGCCTGTGGGGATAGGGTGCTGGCACGTGTTCAGTGGAGTCGCCAACTGCTACCTCTGTTTCTCAGTGCCGTCTCTGGAGCTTTGGGGGTGTCCTCTTGAGCAGGCCGACCCTCCTTGTCACATAGCTATTGTGTTTCTGAGCCTGCGGTTCTGTGTGGGCCTGTGGTCGCCAGGACCTGGCCTCAGGAGGGCGCACGTACTGAGCCCCTTCCCTTGCCCCCACCTCCTCCAGCTGCCATTTGCCCCACTTTCCTGAAATTTGAGAGATCCCTAGGTCTGAAGATGGGCCGCAGCCCTTAGGGGGGTGCACTTGTGGACAGCTTTGCGGGCTGTTTCCATACACCAGAAAAATCGTGTGGTTGTTACCGCGTCCTAGAGATTAATGATGTCATTAATCTCTAGGTGGGCTTATCATTAGACAGCTAACGGTGAGATTGGCTGTTCAAAGTCATCCGCCGCTCCACAGAAGAATAAAGAGGCTGTCGGCTCCTGTAAATATTTAGCCTCAAATTCTAAGGAGCATTTTTACTCCAGCATCTAGGACCCCTATGTGTTGGTTCTAGAAAATAAAGCTTGTGGGTTTTACTTTGTTTTGTTTTTTAAGTAAATAACAGTCAAAGCTGGAACCTGTGTCAGACAGAAACCTGCCAGAGAAGGAAAGCTCAAATCCTTTGTAGCATAACACGTGAGCGCTATAAAAGCGGTCTGGCGGTACGCTGTCAAAGCTGGGAACCCTGGCGAGAGCCGGGCAAACCAGGCCATCCTGCCGCGGTGCCCCGGCCCCCGCAGGCTCCCCTCTGTCTATGTGGTCAAAGCCAACCCCCATTAAGATCCCAACGGATGTGGCCAGAGGTGGCCTTGGAGTACACGCTTTTAGCATTTTGTCAGCCCATGCCTTCAGACTTCTGTTGAGCCGGCCCTTTCAGAAGTCCCTTGTGGTGCTTATGAAAAGGAACATCGGGGTTACTCCGCCCCGCCTTTTCATCAGGAATTCCGTGTCCCTCAGGGGAGCAGAGGAAAGCCGTCTTTCTCTGAGGCCTTTCACAGACAGCATTAACGGGGAATGTACTGCTGCTGCTCAGACCAAGTTTCTGTTGTTACTGACCATCTGTCGCACAGGCATGTTCTTCCAGAAGCTCCTGCCCATGCTGTGGGCCGCAACCCCTTTGGCGGTCCCCTTTCGCAGGGGTTGCCCGATTCATAACAGTAGCAAAATTGTAGTTAAGAAGTAGCAACGAAAATCATTTTATGGTTGGGGGTCACCACAACATGAGGAACTGTATTAAAGGGTCAAGGCATTAGGAAGGTTGAGAACCACTGCTTCTAGGCCTTTCCCCTGTGCCTGCTCACTAGGTGGTGCTCAGCTGTCTGAGTGGCATTTGACTTGGTGTTCTTTGTGAATGAGCACCGCCGCCTGTAAGTGGGTCGTAGTCTATGCCCACCGCCCCTGCGACCTCCTGATGACTGACCCTGCCTGATCTCAGTTGCAGTGATGAGGAAGATGGCACGCCGCTGTCAGCTAGATTTGCTGGCATCTACCCGTTGAGCAATTATAATGACGCCGAAGTGGTGGCCAGCATGAACGGAATCCACAGTGAGCTGAACGGTGGCGGTGGGGAGCACATGGCCCTGAAAGAGGAGGTAAAGGGTGTGCAGAGGTGGTCTGGTGTTGTCGAGTGTGGTGAAGCCCCCCTAACACGAGGTGGTGGCTTTCAAAGTCCCCCCAGGTCAGCAGCACCAGCAGCAGCTCTTCAGAAGCCGACGATGACGAGGCAGACGGCGAGAGTAGTGGGGAGCCTCCAGGACCCCCGAAGGAAGAGGTTGCGCTGGGAAATGGGAGCCTCGGGCCGGAAGAGAGCAAAGTGGACAGCCCACCCCCATCCTACCCGGCCCAGCAGGTACCGCTGTGTCCCCGCCACGTGCTCTGGCCCTGTCTCATCTCTCAACCCCAGACTCACTGTAATCCCACATTGCTCAGTCCCCGTGATGTCTGAAGACCAGAGGCACTATAAAATAGGCACACCTGACTCTTCACCCCCAGGTGGTCTGTTTCCCTCTGCCTTGAGTCTGTTGTCATCAACATTGACTTGGCAGCACTGTGGCAGCCCCTGGGGACCTAGGTGCCCTGCATCGACATGCCCACCTTGAAGCAGAGGAGCGTTTTATGAACCCAGACAATGGAATGTCAGCCTTCCAGATACAGACTCTGAGCTCTGTTGGAAGTCGTCTTGCCCAGTGTGCACTGAGGCAGCTTGCTGTTCCATCCCCTCTGCTGCACTGCATGACCTTTGCCCACCCCGCTCCCCATCCTACTAGGTCGTTTTATTTTTTGTTTGTTTACTTTAACTTTTTAGTTTGGCCCCACGGAGAAGTTCCTAGTGTCTCTTACACTCAGCAATATGTGCTTATTTCGTTTCAACTCGTCCACCCTTCTCCCACCCTGTGCTTCCTGTTTCCCTCCATCCTCGTCCTCCTCGCCTCGCCCTCTGTGCTTTGCCCTTGGGTCAGTGCTGCCCTTTTGACATTAAATGGTTCATTGTTTTTCTGTGGTGATGAGTTCAGCTCCAGTCCTGAAATTTTGGGGGTGTTGCGGAGGTGGGTGGCGGGAGATGCCCCACCATTCTCTAGCCAACAGTGAGCCTTTTTTGTCCTTTTCTTTCACTCTTCTACATTTCCCTCTCACTCTTTCTAGGGCCATCTAATGAGATCCTCTTCAGAGCAGTTGGTAGTGGGTGGCCAGGCACCATCCAGTTCTTCTGGTCTGTAGGTCCTGGAGATGGAGTTTATGTGGCCCGTTCGCCCGTCAATAATTGTTTCTGTGTGGCATCAATTTCTCTCCATCTTCCTTCCAGACAAGGGAGGTCCATATGAGTTGGTAGCCAGTTTTATTTGATTTATTGCATGACCTTTCTGCATATATTGATGCAAAACCAAATGTTTACTCTTCCCTTTCTAATGAACAAGGCTACACACACAGTGTGCCCCACCTCTGCATCTTGCTTTTTCACCTGGCTGATCCTGAGAGCCCATCTCTGTCTGCACCCAGAGAGATCCTCCTCCTCTCTCTGTCCTCTCTGTGCTGCATTGCGTGGCTGTCTGGGTGGGTGGGTTATGTTGTTAACCGGCACCTTTCTGATGGACACTTGGGTGGTTTTTTGGGTTTGGCCCTAATGAACCACCTGTGTATCGCCTGGCACACCTGCTGCCATCTTGTAGAATAGAGTTAGAACTGGCGACCAGCCGCGAGTTTGCAGGCTCAGAGCATCTAGGGCTGGGAAGGTGATTCACCATGCCTCCCTAAAAATAGGGCTGCTTGATCACTCCCTCCCCCAGGGCATTGCCACAGAGCTCTGACAGGTGGAAAGTGGTCACCCCTCTGGTGCCCATTTCCAGCTCCCTCTCTATGGGCAGAGGGAGCTCCTCTCTTAGGGTGAAGGGCCCAGGTCTCCCTTTTCTGTCCATGGCCAGGCATCATTTTCTGCCTGTTTGCCTCATGAGACAGCTGAACCTCTGTTTTATGATGGTCTCTTGTCAATGTTCATTGTTACCTCCTTTGAAGTTGCATCCCTTTAAATATCTCATTCCATATATTGAAATCTATATTCAACTGGCCTAGAGGTTGGCAGTAGGCGGCCTTTTCTAAATGTAATACCATGTTTTGGGTGATAGTGGTGCTGCCATCGATTTTGTTCCACTTCCAGGTCAGCGAGACTGAAACACGGCCAGGTGTTGCTCCATCCTCACCATCGTTGTATGTTGGAGTCTGTCGTTGCAACCACTGTGGTAATCTGTGTGGTGAGGGTCTCCGCCCCTTCACCTTTACTTTGCCAAACACGATGTCCTCCTTCTCCAGGGACTGGTCTCTCCTGATCACATGTCCTAAGTACGTGAGCTGAAACCTCAACATCCTTGCTTCTAGGGAGCATTTGAGCTGCACGTTGTCTGAGACAGATTTGTTGCATGAGTTGTCCATGGCGTATTTCATACTCTACCGGCACCATGATTCAAAGGTGTTGGTTCCTCTTTGGTGTCCCTTAGACGTCCGTCTGCTTTGTGCACGCATGAGACAGGTGGAGAGGTTAGGTCAGGAGCACCTTAGTCCTCTAAATGGCAGTGGGCTTCTTAAACACACTACTCTCATTTTAGTGGTTGGCACTGTGGACTAGGACAGGATTCCTGGTTCTCTTCCCAGTTATTTTAATTGGTCAGCACCCATGGACAGTCTACTTTCCTCTTTCTGCCTTCAAAGTTGGAGTCACCGTGTGAATAACGTAGGCTGATGATAGCACCCCTGAGAATAGCAGCGACGCGCTCTCTCGGTTTCCTCCCAGGGCAGGCTGATGGCCTCTGCTGAAGTCTTAGTTTCTTGCTCACTTGGGTCATTAGAGGCTCGCGTGTTTGTGTTCACACGGTGTACCACTCAGGGTGGCTCCTCTTATTGACAGAAACACATCACCTTGGGCTCCCACAGTATCTTCAAGACCTTGGCTGAATTCTGGGATGCAGGCAGGTGTCTTGGCTTCTCCGGCCTGGTCATACCGTCCAGCCCACTACATCTCATGGGGAAACCTGGAGTTCCAGCCCAGCTTTGTCACTCAAGCATCATGCGGCTTTTGGAAAAGCACAGATTCTTGTGTGCCGACAGCTTTATTTATGGTTCTGCAGCCATTACCCCCATCCACAGCTGGGGTGTTCTGTCACCACAGAAAGTCCCTTGCGTCTGTTTTGCAGTTGGATCTGCTCCTTCCTGCAGCCCGAGGCAGCCCTGGACTGCTTTCTGCCTCATAGATTTGCCCTTTCTAGAATTCTTACTCAGACGAAACCATACACTGCTGAACTTTGTGTGCCTGCGCTCCTGCAGTTGATCCATGCTTTTGTGTTGCTGCGATTGTGTCTTTCACATTGTGCTGCATCTATGTGCTGTTGGATGGATGTGCTGTGGTTACTATCTCCTGCTTGATGGGCACAGGCATTGCTTTTCATGGATGGTTTGTACACGTCCTGTTGCTGCCAACATTTGCATACAAACCCATGCAGACATGGGTTTTCATTTTTGTGGGGTTCATACCAAGGAGTTGCTTGTGTGGTAATTACATATGTGGCTTTTACAGAAACTCTCAAACTGTTTTCCAAAATGGCTGTGCCATTTTTCATTCAGCCCGCTGCTCACGTGTGAGAGTTTTAGGTTCTCCATGCTCTCTCCAACCTTGATGTAGTTAGTTTAGTGTGTGAATAGTGGTGCAGCGTTGTGGTTTTACTTTGTGTTCCTCTAGCTATGGGGGACCATGCACTTCTTTCGTTGGCTCCTTATCCATTGATAGATAATCGGTGTTGAAATGTCTCTTCAGATGTCCTGCCCACAAACCATGTTGCCTTTCTCCCTGGGCTGTGAGCGTTCTCGATAGATTCAGGACGTGTCTGACGTGATGGGGTTGGCTTCCCCTCCTGTGTGCTGTGTCTTTTCAGCTTTCATTACTGTCTGGAAAGCCAGGCTTTCAGTTACAATACATACCAGTTTACCAGAGAAATTGTGGGGCATGTTTGTGATGGCCACACCTAAGGAAACTCTGCCTGACCGGTTCTTCTAGAAGTTCAGTAGTCCCAGCTCTTATCTCCAGATCTGCGGTCCATCTGGACAGTCTTTGGCCTGAGCTCTTAGGGTCTGCATCCATCTTTCTGGCACATGGACCTCAAAGTGTCTAACACAGTTTGCTTTAAAGACCCTCCTTGCCTTTGCTCGTTTGCGGGAAGCCAGTTGATGGAGCGCCGGGCCTCTCCACTGGCTTCACAGGATCTCTTTGTCTGTCCTGATGCACACGCCACCTCATTCTGACCATAACGCCCTCACAGCCATGCTCACCATGTGCCAGGATGGCTCCCAGCTGGGCTCCTCTTTCTCTTGGGGTCAGAGCCTTGGAGGCAAAGTCCTTTGCGTCCCTTCTGCATTTACCATCGCCTCGTCAGTTCCTACCCAAAAGTCTGCTTAGGTTTCCATAGGAGCTGCAAGGACGTAAATAACGTATGTGATTTGCCCGTGAAATTTAGAGACGGTATACATCAATTCCAGAGAACAGTGTGAACAGTACTGAATCTTGCCGTGTCCTCTTTGGCGCTTCTCAGCAGCCTTAAAAAGTCTTCCATCTGAATATGCTGAATGCGATTTTGAGTTTATTCTTAAAGACTGCACATTTTTAAAGTACATCTGTAGTACATTTCACTTTCTAGTCGATTACTGGTATCGTGTAGAAACAGCTCATTTTTTGCTTGTGTGAATGTTGTACAACCTTGCTCAACCTGCTTGTTAATTCTAGCAAGTATATTTGCTTGATTTCTCTCCCCCTTTCCTTTATGAGAGCTGTGGCTTTCTACAGTGAAAATCATGTTGTCCGTGAATAAAGACAGATTCATATCTTCCTCCTTGCTGAGTTGGCGAGAAGCTCCGCACAGTCACGAGGAGACGTGTTAGAATTGCCCTGCCTCCTTGCTC